CCAGCCCAACCTAACCCACCCTCCCAGCCTAGGCTGGAAACCTGCACCACCCCTCAGGTGGAAGTTGGCTGGAGCCCCACGCAGCTTCTCCCTAAAAATATGAGGCTGGTTTCCATGGGTGTCATTCTGTACCCGTGGAGGCAGGGAGGGCTTTCCTGGAACCAGGCGGAGGTGGCACCGTGTATCGTGATGCAATCACTCCTGGTAGCTGCAGAGCACAAGAGGCCAGTTCCAGGAGACCCCTGACCTGGCCAGCCTCTGCATCGGGAAGGCCGGTGGCAGAAGCTGCAGCAGGAAACCCCTCCCACTGAACAAACCATCCTGCTACTCGCTGGCTTGTGTGTGACCCTGCAGAGGTCTTGTTCTTTCCATGTCCCATGGCTAAGAATCCAGGGGAAGGCAAACCATGGCCCAGAGACTAAATCCTGCCTACTTCCTACTCTTATCAGTAAAGTTTTATTGGAACACAGCCAAATCCATTTATTTCTATATTTCACGTTTTGAGCAGTTGTGACAGAAACTGTCTGGCCCACTAGACTAAAATATTCACAACTGGTCATTTATGAAAAAGTTAATGAACTTCTGATATAAATTATCATCTACCTCAGTCTTCCTGGAGAGTGAAGGGGGTGTTATTAATTTCACTGTGGCCAGGCGCAGTGTCTCATGCCTGTAATCCCAGCACTTTGGGAAGCAGAGGTGGGTGGATCACTTGAGGTCAGGAGTTTCAGACCAGCCTGGCCAACTTGGCAAAACCCCATCTCTACCAAAAAGTATGAAAAGCAGCCAGGTGTGGTGATGGGTGCCTGTAATCACAGCTACTCAAGAAGCTAAGGCAGGAGAATTGCTTGAACCTGGGAGGTTGCAGTGAGCCGAGATTGCACCATTCACTGCACTCCAGCCTGGAAGACAGAGCGAGACTCCATCTCAAATAATAGCAAATACTTATCAGAATATATATTATATATTTATTTTTAATTATATAACTACAATAATTATCATAACCATTATAATCAGTAATAAATATGTCACTGTGACAAGTGTAATTAGATTAGTGGTTCTTGATCCTTAACACAGTTAGAATCTCCTGAAAGATGTTCTAAAAATCAAAGCTCTCATGGCTCAGCCCAGATCCACTAAATCCATTCTGACAATCAGCTGCTGTGATGATTGATAGGCTCACTTTGCAGATGGAAACACAGAGGCTGAGAGAGATGATCTACTTGTCAGGATCAACCAGCTAGTCAGTGCTGGGGCTGGGATTTGGACCTCGGCAGTCCAATGCCATAGGCTAGGCTTTTTACCACTTGGTGAGTGTTTTTCAGGTACACAGTTTGCCCAGGTTCTTCAGTACAAGGGGGAGGGTGGCTTCATCCGTGGGGTGACAAAAGGATGGGGTGGAGGCGCAAGCCCAAGTAACTTGAGTTTGGAGAATCTCATCATGTAATAATGCTTGCAATGATGCTATTATTTTTTCTCCTTTCTTTCTTTCTTTTTTTTTTTTCTAAGATGGAATCTCACTCTGTAGCACAGGCTGGAGTGCACTGGCATGGTCTTGGCTTACTGCAACCTGTGCCTCCTGGGTTCAAGTGATTCTCCTGCCTCAGCCTCCTGAGTAGCTGGGATTATAGTGCACGCTATCACACCTGGCTAATACTTGTATTTTAGTTTGGCCAGGCTGGTCTGGAACTCCTGACCTCATGATCCGCCCACCTCGGCCTCCCAAAGTGCTGGGATTACAAGCATGTGTCACCGCGCTCGGCTTGCAATGATGCTTTTTTCTAGCTTGACCAAAATGTTGCCATGCTTATCATCTTGGACTTTCTGCATGAGGACAAGGACCTGGTCTGTTAGAGGAGAAGTCCCCAACCCCCAGCTCACAGACTAGTACCAGTCTGCAGCCTCTGAGGAACTGGACCACACAGCAGGAGGTGAGAGGAGGAAACGCAAGCATTGTGTCACCTGTGTTTATAGCCACTCCCCATCACGTGCATCACCGCTTGATCTCCGCCTCCTAACAGATCAGCAGGGGCATTAGATTCTCATAGAAACATGAACCCTATTGTGAACTGCACATGTGGGGTATCTGGGCTGCATGCTCCTTATGAGAATCTCATGTCGGATGATCACTGTCTCCCATCACCCCCAGATGGGACCGTCCAGTTGCAAGAAGACAATCTGAAATCATTATTTCATTACATGTTACAGTGTAATAATAAATGTACAATAAACATAATGTGTTTGAATCATCCCAAATCCATGCACCCCATCCTGGGCCATAGAAAAACTGTCTTCCAGAAAACTAGTCCCTGGTGCCAAAAAACTTGTGGACCACTGTGTTAGTGTGTTCCCAACAGTGCCTTTAGGTATTCAACTCAACTATCAGCACCTCTAACTTTCACAGAGATGGGAGGGAGGCTGAAATTTCAAATCCTCTAATGGCAAGGTTGGTTTCTTTGGCAACCAGCCCCACTGAGGCTGTCCAGGTGCCCCCAGCCATCAGTCATCTCATTAGCACACAGAGACACATCATTTCATACATTACAAAGGCTTAGCGCTCTGCCTCAGGACACTGGGGCAGAGACCTCACACAAACTCTTACATTCCAGTAACCCACAGAATGGAAGAAAAAATCTGCATAGTAGATTCTTCATAAATGTCTGTTATCCAGAATGTATAAATAACTTTTACAATTCAACAACAAAGACAATCCAATCTAAAAACTAACAAAGCACTTTAATACACACTTGACCAGCAAGCACTTGCGAGATGCTTAACATCATTAGTCATAATTAAAACCATAAAGAGATACCTCTTAACTCACACTAGAATAGTCATACTAAAAAAAACAAGTGTTGACAAAGATGTGCGGAAACTTGAACTATTAAACACTGCTTGTGACAATATGAAATGGTGCAGCATATGTGTCAAATAATTTGGAGTTTCTTCAAACAGTTACAAGAAGATTTACCATATGGCTCAGTGATTCCATTCCTAGCTATATACCCCAAAGACCTGAAAACAGGTGTTCAAACAAAAACTTGTATGCTCTTTAAATGTGTCAAGATCATAAATATGCAGGAAAGTCTTGGGAACAGTGTCAGGAAAACTGGATCAAAATGAAAAAACACATTATACTCCCAAGTGGGGCAGGAGGTAAAAGTAAAATGAGTTTGTGAACTGAATTATCACATAGGAACCATGCTGATTTCCTGATCTAGGGGTGATGTGGTGGTAACTTAGGAGAGTTTCCATGCTTTGGGTAAAATATACCGAAGTATTTTGTGGGACGCTGCAAATCTGGTACAGCAATAACTGCTGGGGACTCTAAGAAAAGAAACAGGTTATATTTTGCACTGCTACTGGAGGTTTCCTAGAAGTATGACATTATTAAAAAGTAAATTACTTTTTAAAACAACCTAAAAACTAACAAAGCACTTTAATACACACTTGACCGGCAAGCACTTGCGAGATGCTTAACATCATTAGTCATAATTAAAACCATAAAGAGATACCTCTTAACTCACACTAGAATAAAACTAACAAAAAATAAATACTATGCCAGAAAAGCAGAGACATCACCAAAATCTACTATGAGGCTACACTTCATCCAAAGCTGTGAACCCTTATAAAAGCCTCAATGACAACAGACTCCACTTAGTAGATATCATTATACTTATTAGTATTAGAGGCTGCTGTGTGGATACATTAGTGTTACAGCACAGTGTGGATATTAGTGTTAGGGCATGGTGTACATATTATATTGGTGTTGGAGAACAGTGCAGATATTACGTTAACATCAGGAAACCATGCGGATAGTATTACATTAGTATTAGAAGCAACGGTGTGGATATTAGATTAGCGTTAGAGTATGGTGTGGATATTATATTGGTGTTAGGGCACGGTATGGATATCATAGTAATGTTAAGGCACAGTGTGATTATTATATTATAGGCCACTGTGAGAACCTATCTTAGCAGCCACTGTGTCTGGATGTTGACAATGATATCAGGGTGTAGTCGTAATGATGGGATTTGGGGATTTCATTTTTCTAGATGAATTTCTTCCTTTCATGAGTACTCTAAAGACTCTCTTCTCTGCACCCAGGGCCGTGGAAAGGAAGCTTTTTACTCACCAATGAACAAGACTTAGTTGACACAACCCTCATGCTGCCCGGCACCTCAGAGGGAAGTTGGTCAGGGGTGGGTTCACGCGCCCTCTGGTGGCACCAGAGCTCAGCACAGACACTCTTGTTCAGTTTCTCAGCAGACGTGCACCCCCGCCTGGCTGTTCTGAAATACCTATAAAATTCAATATTCAGTTTATTCAATGTAATAATTTTGGAAACTCAAGCCAAAATGAAGCCCACTGTAGCCATATCCTTCCCAAAAATGGTGATGGAAGACTCTGGAAGCCATGTAGAATGAAATGAATATATACACAAAATAAGAAAAACAAAAACCTACTCAAAATAGTCCAGAGACTGTAATATGAAATGCAAAACTATAAAAAATCAAAAAGAAAATCTAAATGACATTGGGTTTGGTGTTGAGTTTTAACACACAACATCAAATGCCAATTCATGAAAATATTGATAACAGACTTTATAAAACTAAATATTCTACTGTGAAAAACTGTATTCAGAGAACAAGACAAGACAGACGTGAGAAGATATTTACACAATACATACGTGATTTTAAAACTGGGTAAATATCTGAACAGATAACCACAGCAAATATACCGATAGTAGGCTGAGCATGGTGGATGCCCATCTCTACTAAAAATACACAAATTACCCAAGCATGGTGGTGCATGCCTGTAATCCCAGCTGTTCGGGAGGCTGAGGCAAGACAATCGCTTGAACCTGGGAGGCAGAGGTTGTGGTGGGCCAAGATCACACCATTCCTCTGCCCTACTGTGTATGTAAAAATGCAGATTCACTGCACCAGACTAAATTGTATTCAGTGGAAGGCTGATCAAGGATTCAAAAGAATGCAATCTTTTATCTACTTCTGACCTAGAAGCACCCCCACTTCCTACTTCCAGTTGTTCCACCTTACTGAACCAAACGACTGTACATCTTACGCATATTGATTGGTGTCTCCTGTCTCTGTAAAATGTATAAAAGCAAGCTCCACCCTGACCACTTCAGGCCCATGTTGTCAGGACCTCCTGAGGCTGTGTCACGGGCATGTCCTTAACCTTGGCAAAATAAGCATTCTAAATTGACTGAGACCTGACTCAGATATTTTGGGATCACAATCCACAGTCACCATGGTGTGACAGTTGACTACAGCATTCAGTACAGAGACATGCTATACAGGTTTGTAGCATGGGAGCAATAGGCTATACCATATGACTTATGTGTGGAGTGGGCTACACCACCTAGGATTTAAAAGGACACTCTATGGTGTTCGGACAAGGATGAAATCACCAAGGACAAATTTCTCAGAATTCACATCATTAGGAGATGCTTGAGTGTATTTTAAATGGTTAAAGCCTAGGAGAAAAAAAAAAAAAAAAAGAAACTCAATTCCTGTTTGGTTTAATAACAAAGCTTAATAGAGTTAACATATTTCATCTAATCTAAGATGCTAATGATTAACGACATTATTTCATGCACCATCACAAATAGGTTGCCAATTAAACTGACTTTCTGAATAACAACAAAAATGTGAATTTACTTCTATTAATGCCAGTAAAGTAAAATGAAAACGAATTATGGTTTTGACATGTTAAAGCAAAACAGGAGGAAGCCGTTAGCCTTAGGTCTTGCAAAGCAAACAGAAACCGAATTGGAGGCATTAAAACTGACTTAAAAACATTAGCAAACCAACCAGTCAGTGACAATAAGCCCAGCCGCCAGTTGGCTGTATGAGTAGGGACGCTGAGGGAACCACCCCCACAACAGGCGGTCGCCTAGCTGGAGCCAAGGTCAAACCTCACTTAGCTGCCACCACTAAGAGCTCGGAAGTCCCGAGCCCTGTTTTCCGTTCTGGTGCTTCAGGTGTGATTCACAAATCATTCCTTTGCTTACATAAACTGTTTATTTTGCCTAAAATTCTTCTAACCCCTAAATCCTAACGTCTAACTGGTAACCCCCAACTCTAACCCTAACCCCTAGCCCTAATCCTCACCCTAAGCCCTAACCTTACATTATTTTCTGCGTTTGCACTGATATGTCAGTGTTGATGATTCAAACTGCTGTAATGGCCCGGCCGCATGAGCAGTGCGGATTTTATAGTAACGTTGTGGACTGAGGCCTTGCATTAGCATCACAGCTGTTTTCTACATGAGCACTGCAGGTGTTGTATTCGCATTTTTGGATGTCATATCTGCCTTAGGAATGCTCTATTTGTGTTCTGAGGCTGCGGTGTGCACCTCACACTGCAGCCGCGTGGCCTTGGCTCGGGAGCACCTTGGCGCACAGGATTCAGAGGGGCTTTTGGTGTCCAGGTTTCCACACCGAGATCTTCTTACTAGTCTCTGACCCTAAGCAGTCAGGCTGCAAACAGGAAGGATTTTACTCACTGCAGACGTGGCCCAGAGTTGTCCCAAAGTGAGGCTGTGCCCGCTAGGTCTATGCTGTGGAGAACACAGCTCTGCCCTCGCAGTGGCCCGTAGGTCTGCAATGAGGACAATGAAACGGCAGACCGCCGAGACGCAATGCACGCCGGTACCGTGACGCCATCTGAAAAGGCTGGCTCGGGCGCCCCCTGCTGGCGGCCCGGCAGTGCAGGGCCCTCTTGCTCCCGGTGATGTGCCCCCGCCCTCTTCTGGCAACTACCGCCACTGCAAGGCCCTCTCACAGTAAGACCCAAGCCCCAGGGTCTGTGCTGAAGAGGACGCAGCTCCACCCTCGAAGTGCCCCCCAGGTCAATACTAAGGAGAACAGACGCTGTGACGTGACAAAGGGCGGTGCTGTGACGCGATGCACATCAGCGGAGTCTCAGGAATCTGAAAAGGCAGGCTTGGGTGCCCTCTCCTGGTGGCGGACCACTGCAGGGCCCTCTTGCTCACATTGTAGTGGCAACATGCCCCCTGCTGGCAACTAGAGCAATGCAAAGTCCTCTTGCTCACTGGGTAGGGGGCTGTGCATATGTACATAATGAGCACCTATACGTACATGTGCACATACTGTACATCTGTACATAATGTAAACATTGTGTACATTATGTATACGTGAACATAATGTGTACATTACGTATACATGTACATATTGTACATCTGTACATAATGTGTACATGTACACGTGTATATATTGTACGGCTGTACATAATGTACATAATGTGCACACATGTACACGTGTATATATAGTACATATGTACATAATGTGTACATTATGTACTCATTTACATATTGTAATAGCAAAATAAATTATATGTACATAATGTGTACAATCTGTGCATTTACATATATCATTGTGATATTACAATAAATGTATATATCATACACATGTGCATATAAATGTACATATTGTACAGATTATGTACATTTATTGTACATATGTATTGTGTACACATATGTACATTGCAGTAAATGTACATATGGTACATATTATATACATTTATTGTAACATCCCAATAAATGTACACATTATGAGTATATTCTGGGATATTATTTTTAGTATATTAGATAAAAATTACTCCTAATATCAGGGTGGTTATACACCCATGTGTGTGTATTTTGTGATACTATCCATAATATCCTAAGTAGGTATTATTCTCATTGTGAAAGCAAGTGTACACTCCGTGATTGCTCCAATATCACACGCGATGTACAACGCTTCTGTGATGTAGTTCCTAATATCCTGGGGAGAGAGGATGATTATACCCTGAATATTGCAGCAAGTGTACACCACCACTGTAATATTGTTTCTAATATCCAAAAATGGAGAGGATATTACTCCAAATATCTGAGGAAGAGCACAAACCCCCAGTGATATTGTTCCTAATAATTGGGGATTACAGATGATATTACTCACGATGTGACTGCGGCTGTACACCTGTCCTGTGATATTGTTCCTAATATCCAGGGAAGGAGAGGATGATGTTACTGCCCATATAGCAATACCCTCAATATGGCAAGAGGGGTACACCACTCTCTGATATGGTCACTAATGTCCACAAAGAAAACAATCATATTGAATTAAACATTGCAAGAGGTGAAACCCCCCTGTGCTTTCAATCCTAATGTCAAGGTGAAAGAAGATGACATTTTTGTCAATATCGCAGAGGTGTAACTAGAACTAGTGTTATTGTGCCTAATATTAAAAAAAAACAAACAGAATAACATTACCATCTCCCTATGGTATGGTTCCCAGAATCATATTACAGCACATTTTCAAAATACCCAGTCCCACAGCCCCCTAGCCAGGGGGTCCCTAGCAGCCATGGTGGGCCGGGGGGCTGCTACGCCCTAATTTTAGAAAGTACAGGGTGAAACCCCCCTGTACTTTCAATCCTAACGTCAAGGGGGGTGACGATGACATTTTTGTCAATATCGCAGAGGTGTAACTAAAACTAGTGTTATTGTGCCTAATGTAAAAAAAAAAAAAACAGAATAACATGGGCACACCCCCCCAGCCAGGGGGGGGGGGGGGGGGGCTGCTCCTAGCCAGGGGGTCGCTAACTGCCAGGGTGGGTCAGGGGCTGCTACACCCTAATTTTAGACTTCAGAACTATAAGAAATAAATTTCTATTATTTATAAACTACCCTGTCTCGGGTATTTTGTTACAGTAGCACAAAGGGACTAAAACAAAAATTAAAAATGAATTTAGTGAAGTTGCAAGATACAAGATAAATATTAAAAATTAAATTGTGTGGGCCGGGCGCAGTGGCTCACGCCTGCAATCCCAGTACTTTGGGAGGCCGAAGTGGGCGGATCACAAGGTCAAGAGATCGAGACCATCCTGGCCAACATGGTGAAACCCCATCTACTAAAAATACAAAAAATTAGCTGGGCATGGTGGCCCGTGCCTGTAGTCCCAGCTCCTCAGGAGGCTGAGGCAGGAAAATTGCTTGAACCTGAGAGGTGGAGGTTACAGTGACCTGAGATCGCGGCACTGCACTCCAGCCTGGCGCCTGGTGACAGAGTGAGACTCTGTCTCAAAAAAAAAAAAAATTAATTGTGTGCATATGTGTGGGTGCGTATATATATTTTTTCTTTTCTTTTTTTTCTTTTAGAGACAGATTCTCATTTTGTTTCCTGAGCTGGAGTGTAGTGGTGTAGTCTTAACTCCTGCCTCAGCCTCCTGAGTAGCTAGGAATACAGGCACTCACCACCACACCTGGATAATTTATTTTTATTTTATTTATTTATTTATTTTGAGATGGAGTTTTGCTTTTGTTGCCCAGGCTGGAGTGCAATGGTGCAATTTCAACTCACTGCAACTTCCGCCTCCCAGGTTCAAGGAATTCTCTTGCCTTAGCCTCCCAGGTGGTTAGGATTACAGGCATATGCCACCATGCCCAGGTAATTTTTTGTATTATTAGTAGAGATGGGGTTTTACCATGTTGGCCAAGCTGGTCTCGAACTCCTGACCTCCGGTGATCCACCCACCTCAGCCTCCCAAAGTGCTGGGATTACAGGCGTGAGCCACCTCACCCAGCCTCACCTGGATAATTTTTTAAAAACATTTTTTGTAGAAATGGAGCTTTGCTCTGTTGGCCAGGCTTGGCATATATTATTTTATAAATTGTATATACATATGTATAATTGTATGTACTAGCAATGAACTATCAGAAATTGATATTTTAAAAAGCAAGACACCCTCCCAATATTAAGTTGGGACTTCAAAGAGATATTCCCCTAAGGTAAGGCCAAACAAGAAGTAGACCTATATCTGTTCTCCTACTTCTAGTAATTGTTGTGGAGTTCAACAGAAATAAGTTGAGCTTAGCAAAGGAAAACAGAAAATGTGATGAGTTTTTCTGAGAAACTGTGACCACAGTTCAGTATTCTGATTTGCAGCTTGCGTTTACATATCTTGGAGGTCCAGAGAATGCCTGGCCATGAACGTTGTTTTGGGTCCTCTTGGGCTGATACGGCACCAAGTGCCTGGGAGAAAAAAAGTAATATATATTTTTTAAAGGAAGATAACCTTCATCTTGTCCTCAAAAATTCATTGCATGTAATTTTGCAAAGATATCAAGCAGTACACATTCAAAGATGACAAATTTTATAAGAAAACAAAAGAACATGAATTGACAAAACAACATGGCATAAAATTCAGATATTAGGAGTATCAGTAATATATAGTAAAATGACTATAATTACTGTGCTTAAGGAAATAAAAGACAAGCGGGAAAATATCTGCAAAAAATAGGAAATAAAAAAAAATTTGGCCTAGTAGTTTTGAAAAACAACTGGACCTTCTAGAATGGGAAATTACATTTTAACCAAAATAAATGACTTAATGGGGATATCTAACAGCTAATTAAGCAGAGATGTAGAGAGAATTACTGATTAGTGGTTTTGTTTTGTTTTGTCTTTTGTTTGAGACTGAGTTTCACCCTGTCATCCAGGCTATAGTGCAGTGGCATGATCTCAGCTCACTGCAATCTCTGCCTCCTGAGTTCAAGCAATTCTCCTGCCTCAGCCTCCCAAGTAGCTGGGATTACAGGCGGCTAATTTCTGTATTTTTAGTAGAGATGGGGTTTCACCATGTTGGCCAGGCTGGTCTTGAACTCATGACCTCGTGATCCACTCACAGCCTCCCAAGGTGCTGGGATTACAGGCATGAGCCACTATGCCCGGCCACTGATTGGTATTACAGGTAAGAAAACGTTATCCAGAATGCAATATAGGGAAAAAGACAAAAAAATATGGATGAGAGGTTAAAAGAAATGGAAGACAAGGTATGAAGCTCTAATAGATGTTTAATCTCAGTTCCAAAAAGAGAGAAAAAATAGAGTAAAAACAATATAAGAGGCTGACTGGTCTGAGTGCAGTGGTGTTTACAACTAATTGATCACAACCAGTTACAGATCTTTTTGTTCCTTCCAGTTCCACTGCTTCACTTGACTAGCCTAAAAACAAACACTATAGGAGAAAATAACGGCTACTGTTAGCTAAAATGTATCCCCCCTAAATTCATATGTTGAAGCCCTGAACCTTAGTACCTCACAATGTAACTGTATTTGGAGATAGGGGGTTTAAATAGGTGATTACGTTAAAATGAGGCCTTCAGGATGGGTCCTAATCCAACCTGACTAGTGTCCCTATAAGGGGAGTAAATTTGGACACAGAGAGAGGCCCTGGGGTGTGGACAACAGAGGGACAGCCATGTGCGGAGGACAGCCATCTCTAAGTGAAGGAGAGAGGCCTCAGAAGGAACAAAACCTGCCAACAGCTTGATCTTGGATTTTTGACCTCCAGCACTATGAGAAAGTGAATTTCAGTTAAGTCAGCTAGTCTGTAGTATTTTATTGTGGCAGCCCTAGCAAACTAATACAATGTCTGAGAATTTTCCAGAACTAAAGAAAAACAGCAGTATGTGGATTTAAGAAAACCCATACTCAAAAACTTGACACTGATACCATATTTGGAAAAACATGGGTTTTCCCTATGGTATCATGTACTCCTGTTTTGTTTCTAAATGTCAAGCTTGGATGGGTGAGACATCTGATTGGTGGAGGCTAGATCCCATGCCTATTCCCAGCTGCAAGCTGGGAAAGCAAGTGTCCTAGGACAGACTTACTTATGTGAAATAGCCACATGTAAGGAGAATTTTTAAAATATGTTGGAAACACACTAATATAACAAACGCCTACAACAGGGCTATTCAAAGCTTATATTCTAGTCTCGGCTGTTTTCTCTATATTCTTTTGCTTCAGGAGTGCATAACCCATAGAACTCCTAACTTGATGAGTTATGCAATTTGATCAATTCATCTATCAATTCATGGAACTCTAGACACAAGAGTATTTTGGCTGTCACACAATTCACATCAACCGCTCCATCTTCATCTTACCTAAATCCTAGCATCACCCCTCTGCCTCTCCAGATACCCTGAAGAGGTAGGCTTCTTTTTTCTGCAAGTATTATCTTGTTTCTTCAAGACACCTTTGAGGGTCCCCTGTCTTTCCTTTTGATTGTACTTCATATTTACGTTCAGCAGAATCTCCCTTAGCTGTATCGCTCTCATTCATCCCTTCCTTTCCAGTACCATAACGATTACCCTTTTGCAGCTTTACGTTGGAGCGTCTGCCCCATGCCAATCAATCACTGGTGTTTCTGACTCTGGTTGCTCCTCCCTTCAATTCATTCCGCAAACTCAACAATGTTTGGTTAATTTCTATTTTCTTCTCACCTACTGCCCCAGCCAGCTTCCCTTGAATGCCTCAGTCTTTCTCTCGGACTTTGCCCGTAATTTTATTCTACCAGGGACCACCCTGCTCCCATTTTTGTCTGTCTTAACCTCCCTTCGTAGTGCAGCTCAGGCCAATGCTCTCTTCAAGACCCCTCCGGATGGCTCACTTTGTAAGTGTGCGGACCTTGGCATGGCCACTGCTCCTTTACACCTGGCACAGCTACTTTACATTGTTTTCCTTCATGAAAACTAAAGTTCTTTTGTTCCACAAGACTGTGACAGTGACTTCAGGATAAAGATCATACCTGGATCCCTAGTTCTTAGTGCAGAGCCTAGCACAGAATTGGAATGCAGTATTTGTTGAATGAAGGAATGAATTAAACTGAGAATTAACGAATGCCTGCTCTGGCTCTGAGACTCATTGCTGTGAGAAAGGTCTCTTGCGTCCAGGGAACTTGGAAGAGGCCGGCAGCTGCTGGTACGAAGTCCTGAGTCAAGCAGGAAACAAAATGCGGATGTCAGCAATTACAAGTGAGGCCTGTGGTGGGCTTCTTCCTCTGCTGGTTTTCCGTTCTTAATTTTCAGTCTGAAGCTGGGGAGTGGAGAATCTTTCTGTGTGTTAGACTGTGTCGCGTTGGGCAAACTTCTCCAGTCTTAGAATAGTACTGGTCGCTGTCACTGGCCTTCACTTTGCACCATCCCCAGCAAAAACACTGAGTCTGCGAACTGAATTCTAGTGGTTGGGAAATGGATTGAAACATCAAGGTTTTGCTTAGTTTCCACACTCAGATATTAGCAGAGGCCCTGCAAATCTTTTCCTTTTCTATCAATGGAAGAGAAAAAATTACCGTGAGGCCCTATAGCTCAGGGGTTAGAGCACTGGTCTTGTAAACCAGGGGTCGCGAGTTCAAATCTCGCTGGGGCCTTATAAGTTTACTTTCTTGAATCAGGTTTTTCTTTAAAAAATTCCCCTGCCGGTCATTCTGAACTGAGGAAATGTGGCAAACTATAGCTTCTTGCCTCAGGCCAGAGCTTCCAAACACCATTACCTTTAGGTTCCAGTAGTAACGCTGCTCTGTCGCCTGGAATGCGGCGGAATCCATTACACCAGCGGTGGGAACCGCCGTCAGCTTCTGCGACGCCCTGGCTTGCGGACTGGTGGCGAGAGCCTGGCTGGCTGCCGGAACCAGTGCCCTGAGCGGGAAATGGGGGCGGCCAGGGGAGAGAATAGCCCCTTAAACTATTCTTAAGCCCCGGGTCTGGGGATATTTGGAATGGAGATCAACGTTCCCCTTCTGAAACGGGAAAAGCCAGCGGTGGCTGCTCGGATTAGGCGTCCAAAAGACAGATGCCCGCTGCGCGGCAAGGTTTCATGTGCCAGTGGGGTTTTGGGAAATTAAGGGCCCGACTTTAGGGGCGAGACTTGGGTCACTAAATTTGATTCTGACGCAGAGAAATGTGGCCATCCTTTTGAATGAGCTAAAATTTTCTCCAAAAGCGAATTCTCACAGAAACATTGGGTTTGCCCACACGTCCTCTATTTCAGGGGTTCCAGACCCTCTGGCCGCGGACCTGTACCGGTCCACGGCCTGTTAGGCACTGGGCAGAACAGCAGGAGGCGAGCTGGGGCGCGACCAGTACCCCTAGCCTGAGCTCCGCCTCCTGCCAGATCTGCCGTGACCTTAGCATCTCACAGGAGCGAACTCTATTGTGAACTGCGCATGCCAGGGATCGAAACTGCACGCTTAAGAGAATCTAAGTGATGCCTGACGATCTGAGGTGGAATAGTTCAACCCAAGACCATCCCGCAACTCCCCTCCCGCCCCAACTACTGTGGGTGGAAAACTGGTTTCCACGAAACCGGTTCCTGGCGCCAAAAGAGTCGGGGGGGACCACCGCTCCATTCCACACCCTCTCCCTCCCGGGTCTGTGGACTTGTAAGCGGAAGAGCCGAGATTCGGAGGGGAGCGCAGGAAGTGACGACACCAGGGAGCCAAGGCCTGAGCCTGGAGGCCCGCCCTCTCCGGAACTCACAGCTGCGCAGTCAGAATTGTGTGCGTCCCACTGCCGCAGCCCCTAGTTCTCCGAAGTCCAGGTGCTGGTCCCCACCTTACACACAAACACACATACCCATGCCCGCGAGGCCCCTGGGTCCCCGCCCAGCGAGGCCAGCAACCCTCGGGCGTCCAGAGGATGTGCAGCCTCGGGATGCCCAGGTTCCGGGGACGACTGCTCTGCTTGGGAGCCCCTCAGTGGAGCAGGGGAATCCAGAAAGGTTGTCCTCAGAACCTCGGACTCAGGACGTTCTTACAAGCTGGCTTTGCGACGCTGCAGTAATCACTTTCCAGATATTAAGAGATTTCTTTCTTTCCCGTCTCTGGTTAAGGATGTCTTGAATAGGGATTTTTAGAAACCCTTTCGCTGTGTTCCCTTCGATAGCTCAGCTGGTAGAGCGGAGGACTGTAGTACTTACCGTGATGTTATCCTTAGGTCGCTGGTTCGATTCCGGCTCGAAGGAGAAGCTGCTGTTTTGGGGTTTACAGTTGCTCTCCGTTTGTTCAATAAATCTCTGTATGTTGACATGATGAAATGTCTTTCTATCCCTTACCCTTGTCCCAAGGAAATAGCCACGAGTTGAGCTGCGTTAGTCATGCCTTGAAAAGTCGGATACCTTTCTGTAAGATAGTAGACCCGAATGGTCCAACCGTTGCGGGGGAGGCACTATTATCTTACTGAAGTGTGTTATGTTTTGGCTTCTGGATTATACACAGCGCGCGCCTGTCCTCAGGCTCAGAACCCTACTGAGAGCTCCGCTCTGGCCCTCGATCTCCATCTCAGTCCCCTCCAGGTTCCCTCCAGGCTCTAGCGGGGCTTAAGTCTCTACCCCGGGCTCGGTGAGACTCAAACATGTGACCTAAAGTCTAAAAAGCTGCCTCTACTCACCCCATTCTGCGTCTGTATCAAGGAGAATAAGCGGGGGTAAAGCCAGAGCCACACGTGAAACTTGGTAAAGGTGGAAGGAATAACTAAATAAGGCCAAAGGAAAATGTCACAACAGAGGAAAAAAAAAAAAAAAACTTCGTAACAGGAGGCGGCCAGTTGCTGGCGGAAAAGAGAAATTCAGCACGATAAGAAGTGGCAGTAAACCACAATGGCTCGTTGGTCTAGGGGTATGATTCTCGCTTTGGGTGCGAGAGGTCCCGGGTTCAAATCCCGGACGAGCCCGAAGTGGTGCCATTTTTCCACACCATTTTGGCAAGTACAGAAAAAAGTTTCAGTTAGAGTTGAAACACAAACTGTCTCGCGTTGGGCTGTCCTGCCAAAGAAAGCAGCACTAAATACGTGGCAGATGGGCTACCAACCAGTGTCATGACCAAGTTTCATGGGTTCCTGGACGCTCAGCCAGGGGTCGTCTCCGAAGGGCCGCCTGGCTCTTGGAAACAGAAGCCAGTTTCCCGCCATCTGCTGTCCGTGGAGGCTGTGCCCTCGCGGCTGCTGCCCTCTGGGTTCCAGCTGAGGAAGGGGCAAGTGGGTCTCAGTTTCGTTTTTTGCTCGGGCTGCCCCTCTGCGGCCTTGGGGCGGGGGCTTCTGCGGCGCCAGCTCCAAAGGCGGATCCAGGAGGGAGGGACCTCCTCGGAGAAGCGGGGCGCGGTCCCAACTACGCAGAGGCTCACAGGCCGACCCTCCTCTCCTCACGCCACACCCATCTGCGTCCGGGTCCACACATTCACCCTACAGACGCACGCCAACCCCACCCAGATGCAAAGCAGGTTTTCCAAAGAACATCTTTGCGTTTTCTTACCAGCTTCCCAGAATCGAACTAGGGAGGAAGAAGCAGTTGAGAAACACAACTTCTTTCCATTGTGCTGCCCGTTTCTGCCGACTTGTTCTGAGGCCGAGGTGGGTTCACCCTCCTACTCTTCCTCCTCTTTGATAGCTTCATCAGGGGCGTTTGGCCGGGGAGTCCCTTCCTGGTAGAGGGAGGAGTGGGGAGGGAGGTGAAAGTCCGTTATTTGTATGAGTTAACGACTTTACATTCCCACTCCGATTTTTACTTTGCGCAGCTGGGCAGAGATACCGCTTCTGTTGGTTAGTAGGCTCGGAGGGGGACCTAAGGGAGGCGCTGGGAGGCCTGCACTTGCCACAACTAAGGAAGCTTTGCTTCTTATTCAGGTTAATCACCCGATTTTTGAAGCAGGCTTTAGTTTTTGCAAGCGTAACTAACATTTGGGAATTGTTGTTTTCTGTTTACTCTCCTCTGCCTCCCCACCCTTAACCCACCCTCAGCCAGTGGTGTGCAATTCTTAGAGACACTTGCCAACAGCCTCTTCTCCAAGCCTTCCTACAGGAAGATTGGGATCCTCCTTTTTCTCGTTCTGAGACAGCACATCAAGTGCTAACGGCAGCACATGGGTAAAGCGCAATATCTTTATTAAGGAAGGACAGTAAAAACAATTTCATCACCACTCAGGGGGCTAGGGAAATCTCAAATGAGCCAAGACCCTCCCTCGTGACAGTAAGACTCTTAGAATCAAGTCATAAGGTAATCACTAGAAACCCAAGTGACATAATTATCTGCAGCACAGGACCACCTTCCAAGAAGCAGCCTCAGGTCTTCATTGAGTTATTAACCACAGAGCCATTAACTAGTTTTGCAAGAGGATAAGTTTATTACATACACTTCAATTCAAGCAATTCTTTTACTGATGACAAGCAGAGTAAAATATGTTTTGAATTTATGATAATAGTCAATGTAGGTTTCCTTTAAACAGCAACTTTTAGTGGCACCTTGAAAGTTAGCTTTGATTTTCTAGAAAGTACTAGTATGGAATATAAAAGTTGTGTGGGCCTGGTGTGGTGGCTCATGCCTGTAATCCTAGCACTTTGGGAGGCCAAGGTGGGTGGATCAGGAGGTCAGGAGTTTGAGACCAGCCTGGCCAAGATGGTGAAACCCTGTCTTTACTGAAAATACAAAATTTAGATAGGCACTCTAGCCTGGGTGACAGCGCAAGACTCCTAAAAAAACAAAAGTTGTATGGCGCATGTAAAGGTTCTCGTCCCACAAATGCTATGAGTCCCACAAATGCTTGAGCAATACATGTCTCTTTCTCTGTTCCTCAGTTGCCTCTTCTTTAATATGAGGGTTGGATGGACAGCCTCAGAGGTCCCTCCCACTCTTGTTCTATGACTGCATGGAGTGGTGCAATGTTAGTAACAGGACACAAGGCACTCCAGCAATGTGGAGATGAACTATAGTTTGGCAGACAGGATGGGAAAAAACCATTCCAGGAAAAGAGGAATGGCTTTAGCTATTGTTCAAAGCAGATAATCAGGTTATAAGCAGGCAAGAGTAAGAGGTGTGTCAAGTTGTTGTTGGAAGCATTTGCCACTGTGACTCAAATTAAAGTAGACAGATGAAAAAATGGACCAATGCAGGCCAATGAAACCCTTCTTTAGAAGTTTTTATTTAATCTGTATTTAAGCAGATTCTCTGTAATTCTCCGTAAACAGTTATTCTCAGAAGAATGTCCTGAAATACTTGGGAAAGAAGGAATGGGGACAAAGAGGGAATGGGCACAAAGCCTGGAGTTGGCTAAAAAGTAAATGTTTAATTTTTGCCTTTGATGGAAATACAGGCATGTCAGCAGGACTTTGTCCCCACTCTCTTTCAATCAGTAGTGTTGTCACTTCCTGGAGCCATGATTCTGCTTTTCACCTGGGCTTTTCCTTCTTTACCTGTGACTTCTGTTATTGAATAAGTTTCATGCTTATAGACGTAAAATGTTAGAGTAATGAAGAAATTTAGAAATTATTTAGTCCATTCCTCCAATCATCTAATTTTATAATTAATCCTAAGACAGAATGAAACGTATATACTCTGTATGAAGAAGGAAAGTGCTTCAACACTAGAGTCCTTGGGAAGAGTACCCATGCATCCCGTGTCTGTGTGTAGGGACATTATTGGCTTGAGGGAGAGAGAGAAAAAAATCTCCAGAAAAGGGGATGACTTTCAAATTAAAGTGGTCTCAATTTTTTTTTTTTTTTTTTTTTTGGAAATGGAGTTTCCCCTTTTCCCCCGGGTGGAGCACAGTGATGTGATCTTGGCTCACTGCAACCTCCACCTCCTGGGTTCAAGCTATTCTCCAGCCTCAGCCTCCCGAGTAGTTGGGACTACAGGTGCCTGCTACCACGCCCAGCTAATTTTTGTTTTTAGTGCAGATGGGGTTTCACCATTTTGGCCAGGCTGGTCTCGAACTCTCGACTTTGTGTTCTGCCCTCTTTTGCCTCCCAAAGTGCTGGGATTACAGGTATGAGCCACCATGCCTGGCCTGAACATTTTTAAAATAGATTTTTTTTTTTTTGGCAATTGTCAATTCCTTCATATGGATTAAAAATATTGACAAAGATGCAATATTCCTTAATCATAGAATATAATTCCTTGTTGTATTTTAAAACACAAATGACTATGTGCATAGATGCATTCTAATGAAATAGTAATTTTTCCCCCAAACCCTACTTTTTGTTTTAATAAAACTTCTTTGTGCCAAGTTTAAAAGAAAAACAAAAATCTGTCTTTGCATTGTGGGCAGATTGTGAATCCTCCAAAAGTTGTCCGGTGAAGGCCCAGAGGCACAGAATAGACCTGACTATATTCAGAGGCTGCTGGTTGCGCCACCCCAGCACTACTGCAGAACTCTAAAATCAGAGGATACTCTGTTTATGTGAGTTGGTGCTTGAATTGGTGCTTCAAGCCATGGGTGCATTGGATTGCATATTGCAGGCGCATTGGATTGTATATGGCAGCAGTCTTCTTCTGGTAAATCACTCGAAAGCAGGTGTTTTTGTTGACCAAGTTGTCTGAGGCTGTAGGAGTTGGCTGCTGCATGCATCCAGGACTGCTGAGGCAGTTGGGTGTTGCAATGAGCCTGTCAGCTCTCCTCCCTAACAAATGAGTGGTTGGTAACTTTTCAGAGCTCAGCTCTTCAAAGTCTGTTTAAAAAGTGATGTGTAATTAATTTAAAATAGTTACCACTCACAGATGCTATGTTTGCTCACAGAAGGAAACTGAGCATTTGAGTACTCTGTCAGATGCCAGGAGGAGACCCACTCTGGGCCCCACTTCCCATTGCTTTTCTTTGTTCCGGAAACACTTTGGACTTTGGCATTTGGCAAAACAACCTCTAGTGTTTACAGTACTGGTCAGAGACATGCTTATTCCTTCCCAGAAGACTCCAGTACCCCTGAGGCACTGGGGACTGAGGGAAGGCAGTTTAAGGCCATTCGCTTAGTCCTCTTCTCACTGCTAACCTTTTTCTTTTTAGCTCAACATTTGCTTGGGGCTGCAGAGAGAAAGAAAGAGGACAAGGGAAAAAGTGAAGCTCAGGCAGGATGGTGCCCTAACAAAGCTGAAAAACAAGTGAAGTTCATCCCTCCCTAGTTTCCCCATGCTGCCCACTTTTCTTTCTCCTCAAATCCTCAGTGCCTTTCAGTTACCAAAACCTGTTCTTAAGGATGAGCTCTAAAGCACATGCCTAAAGATGTGTAAATTACAGACAGCTGCTGAAAGAGTTTACCCTCCTAAGGACTTTTGCATTGGAGTGAGGACCAATATCTCAAGAATGAAAGCATATCAGTTGGATTCCATAAAAGTAGCACTTTGCTGGGAACCTGGGAAGCTCTCTGCTCTGCCTGGGAATCATGATGGCCTTATTTTGTAACTACTACCAAACTCAATTATGTCTGTAAGCCTTTAGGAGGAGCCAGGAGACTTTGCATGGGCGAGGTTTCCAAAGTGAGATCAGATGGTGCATCCTAGAAACAAGGGATCACAAAAACAGTTTGAGTGTGGGGTGTGGTGATGTGTGCTTGTAATCTCAGCTACTCAGGAGGCTGAGGCAGGAGGATCGCTTGAGCCCAGGAGTTCCAGATGAGCCCTGGCAACATATTGAAACCTCAAAAAACAAGTTCGGGATGAAGTGTTAGTCACTGTTTTAAATTCTGAGAATAGAGTCAGTGAGATCAATTAACAAAGGAGTATTGGTTAATGGCTAGTTTCTCTGGTTACAGCAAGGTGAAGTAAAAAGTAGATCCATCCCAGCCATGCTATGAGAACTCCACATCAGCTCACACTCTTCTCTGAACACTCTTGAAGTTCCCACAGGATGTAGAAGTACCTGCAAATTAGCCCGTTTAGCCTACACAGTGAAACTGCCTTTTTACTCCTTTTCTGCTCCAGCTCCCTGTGGGAGATCTGTCCCTGCCATACAGAAGGACCAGTGCTGCTGAGAACGTCTGAAGATGCCCATGTCCTCTTCCTTTCTGGGAGAGCAGATGGTCTGGCCTCATGCTGTAGCTCTTGTGTCCAGACTTGCCTCATCCCAAGAGGACCCTCATGTGGGGGAAAGTACTTTACTCTGCCCCGCCCCTACATCCTCCCCTGTCAACCTTGTGGTCTGTTTCTTTACACTGACTTCCTATGTGTTTTCTGAATCTTACAGAGATTTCAGGAAACAACCTTTTTATTTATTCCAGTTTTTATTGGAATAAAATAAAAACTCTTAGGACCCAGGAAGCTGCATAAGAAGGGGATGTGAATGGCACACACTGAACCCCTTTCCCAACGCTGCTCTCTGGCCTTCGTATCTTTCTCCTGCCCTTCATTGTGTTTTTCCATTAGGACGAATCCTTTCCCAGGGGCATCACAGACTCTTATGCAAATAGGCTTCCCTCAGGTGGACTCACCAGCTTTTCAAACACACACTTTGACACACCTGAAACCAAGTCAATACAGTCACCTTGGGACCCATGCTCCATGCTTGTCTCATTGGGGATATGTACTGGGTACAGTGAATCTGCAAGAAAGAAGTGAGCAACCCCTCTGAGAATTGGATGGGATGGAGGAGAGTCATTTGGGACTCAGAGGTGGTGTTGCCTGAGCTGAGTCTGGAAAGACGGGTCAGTTTTCTCCTTGCATATGAAGGGTTCAAAGTCTGACTCTACCATTCATCTGTTATTTGATCTTGGAGTTTCCTCATGAGCAAAACATATTTACATAATGCCTGGCTCACACAGTCCTGGTGCTAGTTAAAAGTAGTTATGTAGGTGACAGCTTCACAAAATGAAAGATCGCACTGAATATTATAATTATTGTGATTTCAAGTGCATTTGTTTTACAGGCAGGCAGGCTGTCTTTTCTTGACAGCTTCTCAAGAGCAACCAGACTGAATACTTGGAGGTAGGTGGATGACTACAGAGGATTGAGGATTTTTAAAAAGGTAACACCGTCCTAGAGCCAACACCACAGTGGGTGAACGCTGGGGATCTGTGAAACAGTTGGTATCCTGCTGTTGTCTGATATCGGGAACTATAAGATTTATAAAGTGATCCTGGTGACCTTTGGCCCATTGTTTTTACACAAGCAATGAATCTACAGCCCTGCTGTGATGGTGGAGATAAGCCATTTTGAAATTACATTACAAGGATCAGAAGATTAAATGTTCAGGGTTAGTCTCTCGTGGACAGGTAAAAATGGAAGAAGCAGCCCAGGAAACATGGCGAGCCTACTTCTGGAGGTTTGAAGCTCAGCGGTTGAGTGGGTACAACCTCAGCCACAGTCAGTGTACCAATAGCCGTCACACGACCTTCTCTAGAAGTGCTTTCCTGGCTCTTTGAAATCGATAGAATAACCTGTTTAGCATCCTTTCTTGAAACCAAATGATGTGATATGATAAATGATAAATAGAAAGCACAGTGGAAAAGTATCCTATTGGAAGACCATATCTTACTCTGTGACATCTTCCAAAGCAGTTCTTGGAGTTGGCCCAAGAAGATCAGAGACGCTTTTTTTTTTTTTTTTTCTTTTTTTTTTTTTTGAGACAGAGTCTTGCTCTGTCACCAGGCTGGAGTGCAGTGGCATGATCTTGATTCACCGCAACCTCCACCTCCCGGGGTCAAGTGATTCTCCTGCCTCAGCTTCCTGAGTAGCTGGGACTACAGGTGTGTACCACCATGCCCAGCTAATTTTTGTATTTTTAGCAGAGACGGGGTTTCACCATGTTGGCCAGGATGGTCTTGATCTCTTGACCTTGTGATCCACCCACCTCAGCCTCCGTAAGTACCTGTAAGTACTGGGATTTACAGGTGTCTGCCACTGCGCCTGGCCAGAGATGCTATATTATTAATCCAGACTATTACGTGTGAATAGTGAAACCTCAGTCCTGCCATGGACAAGAGTAAGCACCACAGACAGCAGAAAAAGGCAACTTTTAAACAGAAGGCCATGTTTCTCAAACTTTTCCTTCCAGACAAATCTCTAGTCCATTCAGGTTGGTTAATATCTAACCCAATCATGCCCAGGGAAAAGGTGAATGACCCTCCTTGTTTGTTCAAGGACAGTGTCCTGAGTTTTCATGTCCCTGCTAGGATTGGGAGTCCTTAGCTTTATTCTCTCCACCCCCTTATTATGAACACTATATAATCAGAACCTGGAGAGGCCTCCAGGTTCACACAGCTGGAACTCATCTCAAGGAACAAACAGCTGGAACCCATCTCCCATTGAAGGGAAACTGCCAGATTTTCGTCAGATTCTTCCTCCTGGGTAATCTATTGTTCTATTTGTTTTACGTATTATTTCTAGTCATCCATCCATTTCAGTGAAACCATTTTCCTCCCTTTAAAGCCTCTGGGCTCAAGCTCATGAATTAAAAAGAAAATGGGTCAGATTCTAAAGTTTAAAACGAAAACAGTTTCCTTTGGGATGGCCCATATGTGGATAACGGGAAATTAGTGAGACAGGGAGCAAGTGGAAGTTTAGGAGGGATTTCTAAATTGTGATAAAATCCCCAAAGGTCTGGGGGAGCCATTTGCCAAAGGGCATCTGGAGTCCTCCCCCATCCTCCGTCCTTTACCCCTGCTACAGTCATTATATGTGGCTTAACAAGGAAAGAAACAGAAAGTGTGTTTTTAGCACTGTTTCCTTCTAACTTTCCTGCTGATTTCTTTTCTCAGAAAAGTTTTGGATCCTTTTTTTTTTTTTGAGACAGAATCTTGCTCTGTCACCCAGCTGGAGTGCAGTGGCAACATCTTGGCTCACTGCAATCTCCGCCTCCCGGGTTCAAGCGATTGCTCTGCCTCAGCTTCCTGAGTAGCTGGGATTACAGGCATGTGCCACCACGCCCAGTAAATTTTTTTTATTTTAGTAGAGATGGGATTTCACACCATGTTGGCCAGGATGGCCTTGATCTCCTGACTTCGTGATTCACCTGCCTTGACCTCCCAAAGTGCTGGTATTACAGGCCTGAGCCACTGTGCCTGGCTTGGATGCTCTTTGAAAACAAAGTGGAACATGTCCCAAGATCAAAAGAAGGCTCACTGGCAGGTTGAAGGGAAGAAAGAAGGAAAAGTGATAAAAGGATGAATATGGCTTTGGTGTTAGGCTCTCACTTTGGGAGATTTTTCCCTGGGATATATAAAAGCGTGAAGCCACATTTATTAAAATGATAACCATAGTTACTCATCATAAACTATCAAGTTAACTCCCTGGTGTGTAAAATTTGATGAATCTCTTGAATACTGAACCTCGCCTGTGGGGAGTGGGAGATAATATTAATTCTTGTGAAAACTAGCAGATTAGTTTGAGACAGAAGATAAAGTTACTCTAAAGAACAGTTGGGGCCAGGCACAATGGCTCATGCCTGTAATCCCAGACTTCTTTTGACCTTAGGATGTGTTTCCACTTTGGGAGGCTGAGGCAGGCAGATGACCTGAGGTCAGGAGTTCAAGACCAGCCTGGCCAACATGGCAAAACTCCATCTCTACCAAAAATACAAAAATTAGCAGAGTGTGGTGGCGGGAACCTGTAATCCCAGCTACTTGGGAGGCTGAAGCAGGAGAATTGCCTTAACCTGGGAGGCAGAGTTTTATCATGAGCCGAGATTGCACCACTGCACTCCAGCCTGGGCAACAGAACAAGAAAACTCTGTCTCTCAAAAACACAACAAAACAAAAACTAGCTGGGACTAATTCCACTGACAAAAAGCTGAGCTGACAGACAGTTACATGTTTGGGTATAGAAGGATGTATCTAGAAGGATATGTCTAGAGGACTCTGTACCGTTGGCTTAGGCAGGTTCACGTTTACACCACAAATAATCTGTCTCTTACTGGTTTTCTCCCAATTCCATTTTACCTTGCTTTTGAACAATTTAGAATTGAATATATTGAGAAAGTTTTGAGTGAGGGAGCAGATGTTAGATATTGGTGGTTTTGGTGTCCGCTTGCTGGGATTTTGTTCCCGGATGTCTTAGGAAATCAAGATTACAGTAAGCCCGAGCAAAACTTAGTTGACTTCTTGCAAAATGAATGTGCATATTCTGCAAATCAGAAGTAAAGATACTCTTTTACCGCTGCAGACTGGAACGTGAGAGATTTCATACTCAAAAAGCAAGCGGTTTTTTAGGAGCCAAAGCCCCTGTGATGTCCAGTGCCTTATTTAGAAGTGCTATGTAAGCTTGGCTTACACATTGAGCCTTATGGAATGATGTATCTTAGTGAGATTGGGCTACAGGTCACCCTGTCTTCTACTTGTTCCAGTTGATGCCTTGCGCCCCCAACTAAACTTATACAAAATTTGTCTCTGTAACTGAGAGTCATGGGACCTTTGCTATTGAAACTAGCAAGGCCTCAATTATTATTAATGAGAACCATGAAACTTCAGATTTTTAAAGCTAGCAACTCTCTTATTTTCTTGATGAACAAACCTAGTCCTGGAGAGAAAAATGAAGTCAATTATTTAAAAAATATTATTGAGGATTTATTATGAAGCAAGCATGTTGACTCAAGGTGAATAATATGAGTTCTGTAGAATATACACCAGTAAGAAACACTAACAAGTGAATAATCTGTTGTTTGCCCAGCGTCACATGGGTAGTGGCATGTTTGGAAATGGCACCGTGAAACCTGACAACAGGTCGGTCTTTATTTTGTGATATCCTTAGGTAGATCCTGAACTTTGTGGCTTTTGCTTTAGCCCTTATATCTGGTAAGGTGTTCTTGGTCTTAATATCTAGCACAGAGAGTTTGGATGGAGATTCTAAACAGGTTCACTGGCTCATACTCCTTTCTGTGAACAGCAGTATCCCCACAACTTGTACAGCATTGGCACCTCCTGCAAGTACCATCTGCCCTAGAGAAGACATTAGTAACATTCCTATCCACCACTGCCACCTAATGACTCTTTTAGGTACTGGCAGCCCTGGTTCTGCTTCCTGATTTTTGAATTCTGGGATTCTGGCACCAGACAGAAGGATGTTGAGTATGTAAGGGAGACCTTTAACATTAGAAGTCAGTATTTGTTTATTACAGAGCAAAAGGCTTAGTTGATTACCAATTAATAAAACTTTGATATGATCTTCCAAAAAACTAGAAACAGGAAACACACGCAGGAGACTGAAAAGCATGATGTAAATGTGAAGAACGTGGCAAATGGGTGGCATGGCAGCCCAGTAACTGTATTTGGAGCAGCTGCATGAATGAATACTTGTTACACCTTTAGGGCTGGCTCTCCATTCTGCAATCATGTACCACTTTCTTGATAAACTCCCAAGAACACACTTTCACCATGGAATTTCAGACTTTTAGAGGTAGCAACTCTCTCAAGTACAGACAAATGTCAGTGCAGGCAAATTTGATACGTTGCTGAAGAATAGCAAATTATATGCTAAGGAATTTTTTCATTCTACAATACTGAAGTAAATAGCAGCTGGAAATGTTTCCATTAAGTTTATAGATTATCATTTGTAATGAAATCAATACCAAATGCAAATTAGAAAGAGAGCCCACTTTGCTCACCCAGTCACATGCCTTCCCATGTAACCACAGAAGACTGGAGTCCCGGGTCTTTCTAGATCCATGGTCATGCTCTCAGAAGAAGCTAGCCACACCACAGGCCTAGTGCTAGGACTTTTTAAACTCAGATTCCCTTCTGTGAACAGCAATATTTTCACAACTTGTATAACTTGGCACTTCCTGCTAGGGCTACAGAACTATTTGATATGAAGATGTTCATTGACTTACACACAAGAGAAGCACAAAATAAAAAGTTAACAATTAATTTAATGTCTGTGAAATGTACCATTTATTTTTACATTAGGGGTCATAAGAATTGTATTACATTCTTAAATGTAATTTAATGTAATTATGCAATTAAATGTAATTTCCTCCCTTTGTGAGAAATTCTCAGTATGTGTGATGACTACCAAGAAATCATAGCCAATCACAAATTCAATGAGTTACTCATAAACAATTTAAAAAG